GGTGGTCGGGTACGGGTACGGGTCGGGTACGACGTACGTACGTACGTACGTACTACACTAACTAACGTATATATATATATATATATATATATATATATATATATATATATAGGCAGGGGGGATGGGGGTTGACCTAAGCTTAAGTGTCCACCTAGGCTCCACTTGTTGCACCTTGGTGCTCGGACATGACAATATAGTTGGGAACCTAGGCTTAGGTGCTAGGTGCCGCCTACTGTCGGCCTTGGGATAGGGCATCCAGGGAGGCCCGCCTAGACCTAAGAGGGGTGCTCTGGCCCCTTAGCCAGGCGAAGCAGTTGCTTAGGCACTAGGTGTGCCCTCTTGGCAACAATGGTCCTCTCTTTGTAACACATCCTAGATGTTCTACTCAAGTTGTCAATAAATTAGCCACCCACCAGATGTCCCTGTGTTCACTTGGAAACTGCTATCAAATTTGTGCTTTAAGCATTTTGGAAGTGGTTTGTCCCACATAACTGCAATTTTTCTTTCGGCCTTGTTCTTTTTAGATTATTATTCTAATACTTAGCTTTCCTTAGCTTATTTTAGGAGTGATGATTCCATGTGTGAGATAAGGGTTGCATACGGTTGTGATAATGTCGATTGACTTATGGCTACGATGGCTCAGAAATGTGTTGAAAGGAAAGGATATTTGGAGCAAGGGGCACATTTCTTTTTGTTTTCATTTTCTTTTCTATTACAAGGGGGTTTGGATTTATGGGGGAAGAGTGTATCGATCCCTTGGAGGTTAAACTTTAAATCAGGTGTTATTTTGAAAGCATAAAAGCTGTGAACAATTGATAGGGAAATAGGAAAGAGAGGGTAGGAGGCTTGATTGTCTTATTGAAGAGAATGGTATATGGTAGGATCTCATAATGTGTGCGCCAGAATTGTATAACAAGCAAGATGGTGCTAGGTTGGTTTGTGTGTGATTCGTAAAACATGAAGCTTTCAAGCTACAATGATGGTTCTTCATCTTTATCTATTTGATCCTTTTATTATATGCCTGATTTTCCCTTCTTTCAGAAATGGATGAAAGAGCCGAGTATGTGATAGTAGTTAATATTTACTTTGTGTGCTTGTTTGATTTATATTAGTTGATTTATATCATTAGAAGTATTTATAAAATATAAGCATCATCTAGAACAATGCTTTGCATGTGATGAACAACCTTTGTTAGTGGCAACAATGTCATTGCTTTGATTCTTGATGACTGGTGAAGTCCAACCCTACTCGAGATTAGTTTTCATTACCCAACTCATTGTGTCGCATTATGGATACTCTTAAAGTTGATCATCCACATTTTCCCAAATTTTGGGGGTCTGACCTTTTGAACCCAGCGATCAACCCAAAAAAAAAAAGAGATATAAAATAAATAGATATTATATATATATATATATATATATATATACACACACACATATATATAATGAAATTCAATAGGAATTAACGTCAAAATACTGAACATGGACCATCCAATTTTGGGACGGTTAGATCTGAGTGTTTCAAATCTCAAAATCCTTTTTCTTTCTTTGTTTTCTTTCTTCTTCTTTTTTTTAAAGAAAATGATCACCTGGTAATTCTTAAGTGAATCCCAAAATCTTAAATCGAAAAACTCTCAAGTTCCTTAGGCCTGAAGGAGTTAGCATACAATATGCTTCTGGGAGCATGCTATATGCTCTATTAAATAGATATAAAATCTTTCTAATAACTATCTTCAATTCTCTGTCACGATTAGATAAGCTGAAACATCAACAATGAACTTGGTCCTATGTACCTATCAAATAAATGCATGCATGTGCATAATATGGTGATTAGGTGATGTGATTCTCATATTTGGGAATTGGATTTGTTTGGAATGCTGGAAAGTATTTCCTGTACTTTTGAGTTTTTGATGATTCCTGTTGGGGTTCATTTCTGACTTTCCTCTTTATTGATGCTATTTATTATTTAAGGTTCACCGTCGCCCAGATAATGGTGAGGTGCTCAATCTGGTTTTTGTATGGGCTGATGAGGGTAGTGAACTAAATGTTGATGTGCCCATCGTCTTCAAGGGAGAGGAATGTTGTCCAGGGATTCAGAAAGGTACGCCTTCCATTATTATGAATTTTCTTTGTATTATTTGCTATCTTATAACTTGGATGTCTATATACATTATCATGGTTGTTACTAGTTATTTCCTTCATCTTTTCCATGCACTCTTGATTAGTGTTTAAAAACTCAGTCAAATTACTCAACCTCGGCAGTGTGTGTCATGGTGAGTTTGGATATCCAAATCAGGGGATGTATACATGCGCAATGCTCAAGGCAATATTGTACAAACTCGCTCAAGTACCGTAGAACTTGGGCAGACTTGCATGAGTTATTTAGCACCTGGGTGACTCTCTACAGAACTTGCTCGAACTACTGAAACAAAAAATAAAAGGGTGCAGAAATCTGCCTCCTTTTAACATCTCTCTCTCTCTCTCCCACAGTCTTCTCCCTCCATTTTAACTTCTCTCTCTCTCTCTCTCTCTCTCCCCAGCAAAGCCTCCCCTTCTCTCTGAACTATATAACACAGCGAACTCTTCCACTTCTCTATGAACTGTTAACACCCTCACTCCCCTTTCTGAAACCCTCCCGCATCCAACTTGGACTCGGTTGAGTTACTTGGCCTCAGCTACTGGCAGAGTCGAGTTACCATCTACTCACTCGGGTACATGGGAAAGCATATAGTACTCAGGTGAGTACTGTACAGGCTTGCCCGAGTGGTAGAACTCGGGCGTGACTCGCCCGAGTTCTATGATATTCACAAGCCCCATAGTACTCAGCAAGTCCATAAAATACTTGTGAGCTCTACATTAGCCTAAGTATTGTACTCTTATGGTTGAAAACAAAAGGAGGCTGGAAATCCGGCCCCTATTTTTGCAGGACTTCATCTTCCAGGCCCCAAGTTGAGTCCTTTTGAGTCTAGTTGTAAAATTACTAAATCTACAAACTAGAAGCATTTGATCCAATTACAAATGATTAAACTCCTCACATTTTGAAGATCGAGAAATTGGGATTTTTTTTACTTGAATTTGAAATACTTTTCATGATTGAGAAGGGTAATGGATGTCCAAGAACTAGGTGGTGGAATTTAAAAAATAAGAAAATAGACTTATTTAAGGATAAATTAGTTCAAGAAGGAAAATAGAACTCTGATCATGATGTCAATCTAATATAGAATGAGTTGGCTGACTGTATTAAGAAAGTGGCAAAAGAAGTTTTATGAGAATCTAGAGGGAAAAGAAACTCCGATAAGGAAACGTGGTGGTGGAGTGATGAGGTTCAGAAGGCCATTAGTGAAAAATGGTCATGTTATAAAACTTGGCAGTGTAATAAAATGATCAAAACTTGGAAGAATTTAAAAATGCTAAGAAAAATGCTAAACAAATAGTAAGTCAAGCTAAACTTTAGGCATATAATAATCTATACAATAAACTAGGAATAAGAGAAGGTAAAAAAGATATCTTCAAATTAGCACAAATAAGAGAAAAAAAGTGTAAGGATCTAAGCCATATTAAATGCATTAAGAGTGAGGATCAAAGGGTCTTGGTAAAGGATGACGAGGTCAACGAAAGGTGGAGAGTTTGTTTCCAAAAATTATTAAATGACGGATACAATGGGAACATAGAGGTAGAAGGGACTGTTGGTACAAATGAGGACAGACGTCATAGATACGTTCGTAGGATTAGGATGTCGGAAGTGAAAAAAGCTTTGAAAAGGATGAAGATAGGAAAGGCTTTAAAACCAGATGGTATCCCGATAGAGGTTTGGAAGTGCATGGGGAGATTGGTATTGACTGGCTAATGAAGTTGTTCAACAAGGTGTTGAGAAACAAAGAAAATGCCAGACGAATGGAGGAAAATTATGGTACCTATTTACAAAAGCAAAGGAGACATACAAAATTATGCAAACTATCGAGGGATCAAGTTGTTGAGCCATACTATGAAGCGCTGGGAGAGAGTGATTGAGTAACGACTAAGGCATGAAACGAGTGTATCTGAAAACCAATTTGGTTTTATGCTAAGAAGATCAACAATTGAGGCTATTTCCCTATTTAGACAATTGATTGAGAAGTTTAGGGTGAAGGGAAAAGACCTCTACATGGTCTTTATTGATTTGAACGCTTATGATAGAGTACCTCGAGATTTGATTTAGAGGGTGTTGGAAAAGAAAGGAGTCTTTAGACACTACATCAACTTGGTAAGAGATATATACGATGGAGTGCTAACTAGTGTACGAACAACTAGTGGAGAGATGAGTGAGTTTTCAGTGACAATAAGTCTACATCAAGGGTTAGCATTGAGTCCATACCTCTTTGTCTTAGTTATGGACGACTTAACTAGGCACCTATAGGATGAGATACTGTGGTGCATGTTCGCATATGGCATAGTTTTGATTGATGAGACCCGAAATGGCATCAACACTGGAGGGATGCTGTAGAATCCGAAAAGTTTTAAAATTAGTTGGACTAAGACAGAGTATATGGAATGCAAGTTTAGTAATAATATGAGTAGAGATGATGAAGTAGTTAAGATTGATGACCAGGAAGTAAAAGAAAGACTGCACTTTCAATATCTTGGGTCGGTAATCCAGAAAATGGAGAGATTGTGGAAGATGTCGCACACATAATTTGAGCTGGTTGGACAAAGTGGAGATGTGCAACTGAAATTTTATGTGATCGCAGCATACCAATGAAGCTGAAGGGCAAGTTCTATAGGATAGCTGTGAGACCAGCTTTTTTCTATGGGACGAAATGTTTTCAACAATATACCGATTGAATGATTGTAACAAAGATGAGGATGTTGAGATGGATGAGTGGCAAGACAAGAAGGGATACAGGTTGAAATGAATCCATGCGGAGGAATTTAGGTGTGGCACTAAAAGGCAATAAGATGAGAGAGAGTAGACTTAGGTGAGCTGGCCATGTGTGGCGCCAACCAAGTATAACACCTGTCAAGAGGTGCGAGTTAGTTTACCTAAAAGGAATGAAAAGAGCAAGGGGTAGGCCCAAAAGGAGTTGGTTGGAAGTGTTCCGAAAAGATATGGAGACTTATGGCCTCACTGAGGGTATGGCCATTAATAGAGCAGAATGGCGGACCTGTAGTTATATAGTCGACCCTAATTAATTGGGAAAAGGCTATGATGATGACAAATTTGTTTTATTTATTCGATTCCTATTTCCAATCTTTGATGAAAGCCTAGGGTCATCTTTGTGTTATTGATGCATCCATTGGCTAGTTTCTCCACAAAAAGAAAAAAGAATTTATAGTTTTTTTTTTTGGATTTGTTCAATTCTCCTTTCGATTTTTCCATTTTTCACTTTTTCTATTATTTAATATGCGAAAAAATTATTTCTTTTCATTTCATGTTTTATGTACATTTCTTTTCGTTTTTTAGATTTTATGATTTTTCTATTTTCCCCAATTTTTTGCATTTTTCTTTTCCTTCATTCCTCCATGGGCTTGGGTAGAACTCAAGCTAGTCCCCTTGGACATGGGCTTGGGTAGAACTCACGCTAGTCCCCTTGGACTTGCCCCTCAGTTACTCGGCTTGGGCAAAGACTGATTCTTGAGCTTGAGCTGAGTTTGGAACCTTGATCGCTAGAACAGTATGGGCTTTTTCAGCACATCACGGGAAAAGAGAAACACAGATTGAAGAAGGAACTCATATTGAAGAACTCTTCTTGCAGTAGCTTATAATCTAGAAGATATCTAAGATTGTAAAAGAACTCAGAGATACTGGAGTACTCCATTTCTTGCAGGGTTTTGCTTCTTTCCCATCTGACCAAAGTCAGATTCTCCCAAAAGCTCATCAGACGAACTCTCTCTCTCTCTCTCTCCAAAGCTCTTTCCTCTTGTATCTGATTTTATCTATTTTTGGGGATTTTTTTCTATTTATTTTTGCTTTTTTTTAAGGCCATTTTTGAGCTCGGGCAGGACTCAGGTGGTCCACTTGGACCCACCCATGTTTCTCAGCAAGGGCGAAGTCTAAGTCCCGAGCCCAAGCCAAATCATGTACATTGCTCTTGATGTGTTCAATTTTTTAATTGGTTACATAGGTGTTCTCTATTCTTTGTCCTTTATTTATCTCCAAGTATTTGAGATTTTGATTTCTGGGTTCTTTGGGCATTGAGGCTGCCGACAGCACTTGGTTGCCCTCAATTTGGTAAACCTTCTAAAAGTTAGAATTGTTTACATGCATGCTCATTCTCAATAAATAGTGCCTTTGGAATTGGTCATAGTTGTTCCCAAACTCTTATGTAGGTAACACCTGCTGTTGTTTCGGAATCTTCTAGTCCAAGTCCTTGGACTGACATCATGCAGGATTATCCTATACTGATCTTTCTTTCTTTTTTTTTTCTTTTTTTTTGAGTGCATGCATGCTACACTAATCTTTATGTACTTCATTATGGCTCCCAATTAAGACTCGCAATGTCCTGATAGCTCTATTCATAGTTGAGTTTGAGGAATGGAATTACACAGTTTTGTGCAAGCTGTGCGTGCTTGCCTTGGGTCAATACCAAACCGTGTATCAGCGAGAATCAGTTGACTCTCTAAGACTTTCCCATGTTATCAAGTTGACTTCACTCCGGCTTTGGTGAGTCCCGTCCCAGACCAATGCTTTTGAACTTGGATTTATAGGAGGCCCATTGTCACATGCAAGATGATAGGATCTATGGCATATTTCCTCACTATGCGAGTTTATCCCTTTGAAATTTCCTCTAGAAATATCCTCAAATATGTATGACTGTGTATTTGTCTCCAACTTATCTTCCACTCTACCTGAATGATACCAAAAGACCTTCTCCCTTCCTTTTATTTATCGTTAAAAATTTTGTTTAGTTTTTAGCTTCATTCTTTTCCTAATTTATTTCGTCATAAATGGGAATGCTCAAGTGGTTGGATTGCATATGTGGATGTAAATTAATATCTTTATTTACTGAAGTGAAAGGATTATAATTTTAATTTTGTTGTGTTTCTTCTTATTTAATTGTAGATTCTAATTTCTGAAATATGGTAATTTATTTAAAAGGTGAATGCAAATTTCTCATCCAAAGCAACATTTTCTTTCACCGAGACAATTTCTTTCCTTAGCCAAACTGAAATGTATCTTTGAAATGAAGTAGATAGTATACCCACGAAGAATGTATGAAGCTTTGAATTATAATCCGTTATTGAAGCAAAAAGCTATTCGATCAGTAATCAGAGGAGCATACGAAGTAAGAAGAGAGCAGGTGACAAGTAGAGGAAGCAGAAATGAAATAGTAATAGTAAGGGTAAAACGAAGATATGAAAAAGAAGAAAATATTTGTAAAACATGGCGCAAGGAAAACATTGTATTTCATGTCTGTAACCGGAGATTCTAATATTTGGCTGATAGGTTTGTGGCTATAGGTGTGAACAACTAATCAAGGGTATTGGGATTATGTGCGTCCTGAGTTTTCTCAGGCTTACTTGGGGGCTATTCCGTAGTAAGTTCTTCTCCACTAGATGAAAAATTCCTTACTCCATTGGAAACTTATGTGGAGAAGGGATTCATTCTTCAATTCAGCTTTCATAGATTACCAAGTCAATGGTTTTATCATGTCATTGACATTGAAAATATCCTTCTACTTTTGAGACTCCATCTGGTTAGAAGTGAAACCTCTTTCTCCCCTATCCAAATTTAAATCTTCCTCTTTGAGGTCCAGGTTTTCTCCCTGAAACTTTCAGGTATTGAGCTCCATCACGTACTCGAATGTCTATTGCTGAATTTATATACACAGAGCGGATGATGGGATTGACTTCAACCATCTAGTAGATAGAATGGTAGATGTTTCTCAAGAATTATGTATGTCATAAGCATTTTGATTGGTCGTCTTCTAATAAATGTCACATTGTCAAATGGTATGAGTTGAATTGGGACTAAAAGGTGACTTGACTTGTTGCATTGTCAAGTCAAGTTTGGAATCGAGAGGTGCCTGTGCTAGTATATTTAAAGTTTATCCATATATATATATATATATATATTAAAATGCAGAAATTATGTAGAAGCGGGTAATTGATGAAATTATGTTAAATAACAACTTCCGAAATTCAGGAAAAAGTAAGAAAATAAAAATTGAAATACAAATGGTGAGAGAGAGAGAGATCTTTTCCTATTTAGCTAGAGCTTACATGAATCTGTTTGTTCAACAGTAAGAGAAGGATTGGTTCCTCATTTTTTATAAAAAAAATTCCTTCCCTTCAAGAATTAATACACAAACTATTCATCAAGTAACTGCCAACTTCCTTTAGTTCTGGGGATGCGGCCCCCTGTTCCTCCAATGGATCATCTCATCTTTTATGGAAAAGAATGCAAATGCACCAATGCTATATGCCTACATGGTACATGGCAACACCAAAGGGACAGCGTGGCCAAGGAAACACCCACCTGGGTACAGTTGATCTCCACCAGCCCTACATGTAATGTATGGTTTGATGCCCCTTTCATGTGACACATATCGTAGGGTGTATATTGTACGATCATCTTACTTTTGTATGCTTCCCATACCATAATTTTGAACTCTTTATAATTTTTTCTCTATAGGACAGCCATGAGACCAGCTTTTTGCTTTATGGGACAGAATGTTTGGTGATCAATAAACAACATATACTCATAGATTGAGTGTTGCTGAGATGAAGATGTTTGTTGAGATGGATGAGTGGCAAGACAAGAAGGGATAGAATTCGAAATGAATATATTAGGAGAACTTAAGTGTGGCTCCAATAAACGATAAGATGAGATATAGTAGACTTTAGGTGGGCTGGCCATGTGCAGCAGAGAACTAGTACAACACCGTTAGGAGGTGCGAGTTGGTTTTCTGTGAAAAGCTAAAAAAGGAGAAAGGGTACGTCTAGAAGGGCATGGTTGAAAGTAATGAGAAATGATACGCAGACCAAGATTCATATAGCTGACCCCAAATAGTTGGGAAAATGTTTTGATGATGATGATGAAGAATAATTTATTGGGCTCGTTATTGTTTTTTTGTCCTTTTATAATGTACTTTCCCCATCTCTTGCGCTCACTTTTTTCACGCCATAAGTTTAGACTCTGAATAATTGTTTTGGTTCTATAATGGCTCTCTTTTTTCTTTTTTTAACAGGCGGTTATCTAAACAAGATTAGAACCTCTCTAAAATACCTCTGCCCAGTTGACTGCATCCCCCCACAAATCGACGTAGACCTGAGCAGCCTGGACATTGGGGACAGGGTTTTCATGAAAGATATTCAGGTTCATTCTTCGTTGAAGCTTCTTAGTAAAAATGATAATATGCCCATTTGTAAGATAGTCGCCACACAATCACAGGTACCATTGGAAGCTTAGGAGATGGAATTTTGTTGTGAGAATTAAGGTTCTGAATAAACATATAAAAATATTTTCAGAACTTATGGTTTTAATGGAAGGAGAGAGTTCACCATGTTACTTAGATTGTCTCCTCAAATTCATCGCATATATCAATGACATGCACATATACATACATGTGTAAGCGCTTTAATATACATTAGAAAACAATTAAAATGCATGCTGGAGCAGGGGAATTACATGCATTAATAAGTTTTCGTTTCACTGATTCCAACACCCGATAATCGGTATGATCCGGACGGGATCAGCGATCTAGATTAGTCTAGCAAGTTACACAGTACGCCCGTTTCTTGACTTGATAATTTGGTCAAAGACTGGAGGAGATTTTATAGCTTTACGATATGTTGGAGGGTGCTCATTGGTTGAAAGTTTGATTCTAATGAGAAAATAGGGTCCTTGGTTGTAGAAACGACTCACATTCTCAACCCAACCCAGTGATAGAGACTGGTCATTTAGCATGGAAAGCCGAGAGTGGGGTAGAGAGCATTTTAGAGAGAGAATTTCAAAGAGAGAGAGAGAAAGAGCGCATTAGAGAGAGAAAGAGAGAGGAGGTTTTATTGGGTAGGGAATTGTAGTTGCTGTGCAAGTGGAGGTCTTTGGAGAGAGAGAGAGAGAGAGGCCCACCATATGGTGCTAAAGGTTAGCTTCTCAATGAGGCGTCTCCTTCCGTGCCCTTAGGATAACTACTGGGATCTTGGTCCTCCAAAAACCCGTGTCACTCTTTAAGCCATTCATTTCATGAGAGAGAGAGAGAGAGAGAGAGAGAGAGATACCCCCCATCGCTACGGCAGGGGAGGTCATCTTGAAGTCTCATTTCTAAGATAATATTCGCCAGTTAACAGCAATGGTTGAGAAATTCCTGATCATAAAGGATCTGGCGATTTAGATCTAGGTGATTGACCCATTTCTTCTATGGAACATTGTATCGGGATGATTCACGTTTGACTCGCATAAAAAAAATTTTACATAAAAAAAATATTTCATGTGGTAGGTCTGAAAGTTTTTTCACACCAATTAGTGTGAAAAGATACACCGCAACGAATTGCTATAAAAATATTATCATCCTTTAGTGATATTTTTTGAAAAATATTTTCACGCGAAACAAATATGCTCTAAATGGGAAATTGCCTTTGTTAATTACCCAGGTGATTCTCTAAGTAGAAAAGGCCAGGGCATTGAATTACGTGATTCCAATTTGATTTATTTTTTAATAGTTTTTTTAATTGTTTTTTATACGCTTAAAGAATAAGCGGATTTGGAGCGTAATCGTCAAATCTGGATCTATTCAATGGAAGTCTGATCCAACACACATTCCTTATTCTAAGGAACTAGTTATTAGTTTGTGCAATGTTTGATAAATTGCTAATCTGAATCGAAAATTAATGAATACTGAATATTATGCCGATTTCTTTTAGGAATTAGCCATTCTCCCAAATATATAGTCTATAGTACTATGCCAACTAAGCAATTGAGGGTTTGGACCCCTGTGAGCACTTTAATCTTTTAATTATCCTCTTTTCTTTTTCTTTTTGTTTTGCCTACCATTGCAAAAGTTAGTGGCCGATCTATCCCATCAATCCGTTTTTAAAAATGCGCTCCACTGATTTTTATATTTGGATGACCGTGGTCCAAGAGCTAACCTAGATGTGGTTGTTCCTAGTTGACCTCGCATTTTGTAGGCCAAAGATTGCCTATCATGAGGGCTCACCTTGCTTTTTTTTATCTTTTTTTATCTTTTTTATTTTTACTTTTTTTTACAAAAAAATGTCACAATTGCCACCAGTAAGTTGATCCATCCGATGATCTTCCAAACCTTTGACTGTGATTTGCCCAATCAATTAATGATCGGTGATACGGACCCACAACATGAACTGGCTCGTGGGTCTTGCTCTAAATCAACATTCACCTATTGATTGGGCGGTGATGGCAGTCTGACGTTTGAACTTTAATTTAGTGTCGCATTAAATATTGTATCGGGGCAGTTGGCATTAGGATGCATTCGAGGTAAGGTGCACCTTCAAATTTTATAATGGTATACAATTTTGATGTAAAATGTTTTTAGGATTATCTCAAAATCTATTTTTATATCTAACTATAAAATTTTAAATTTCAAAAATGATTAAAATCAAGTAGATCTATAAACATATGAAAATCTTGAAAATTGACAGTGTAGATAATATGTTGTAAAATGCACTATTTCTAAGATTTAAAATCTTTTTATTTTTCATGGTCATATATCTCGATGTCAAGATGATCAATCAAAAGGTTTTTCAACATTAAAATTATTTTTTCCTATGGATTTTTTAGGTGCATCCGTAGGTTTATATTATAAGGTTGCATCCTTATATAAACTTTTTCCATATTTATATTTACTGTAAAATACTTAAAAACAATGTCTACATAGGGACAATAAGAAGCGGTTGGGATGGTACTAATACTTGCATTTGAAGTTGTGAAGTCTCTCTCAACTCAAAATTTCATACTTGGTCTATGTTAGATCAAGCATTTCCTTCTCTTTTATTTGTTTCCTCGGATGTTTAAAAAATAGGGAAAATATCCTATTATTCTCTATTTTTTAACTTCTCTATCTCATCAGATCTAATAATTGAAAATATTACTTGTAAGCAAAAGGATTTCATCTTTTCTATCTTCTAACCCCCTAAATCTTTTTGACCATGTATTATTGACCTCAACAACTTATTAAATGACTCTATCTCTTTCACACAACATCGGCTCTCTTTCAAAACTCCATCTCTCTCTAAAACCCAAACTCCATCTCTCTCTCACATCATCGTCTCTCTCAAAACTCTATCTCTCTCCTTAAAACTCAAACTCCATCTCTTTCTCTCTCTAAAACTCCATCTCTCTCTAAAACCCAAACTCCATCTCTCTCTCTCTTTAAAACTCCATATCTCTCTCACACATAAGAAGGTGTGCTCATGTTCGAGCTCAAGTTAAACCCCTTTGCTGGTAAACTCACCGAGAAGCGAAGAGAGAGAGATGGAGTTTGAATAAAGTGTCATTTTAGCGTTTGTTTGGGTTAAAATTTTATGGTTAAAGAGATTCAGGGGGTTGTAAGATAGAAAAGATGGAGACCTTTTGCTTATAAGTAATATTTGCAATTCTTGGGTCTCATAAGATATGGAAGTTAAAAATAGGGAATAAGGAGATATTTTTCCTAAAAAGTATTTAATTTATGTTTAAATCAAAAATGTGTATAAGGGGGAATAAATAGGAGTGTTATTTTAAATTTTTAACTATTAATTTTCCCTTTAAAACTCCCTCTCTCTCTCTCTCTAACATTATCAAATAATTTCTATTAAAAGAAAAACAAGTTTCAAGGTATAGACAAAATCACTCAAAGGAAGTAATCACCAATGAAGATTGGTGTACTCCTTTTGCAAGACAATCAGCCTTGACATTAGACTTCCTGTAACAATGGCGGATTTCAGCAGTTATAGTTTTGAGAATATCACATATCTCATGAAAAATTACAGTCAACCTCTGTGGTATATTAGCTTCGCCTTTACTCCAAGCTGTAATGTTGTTGAGTCCTTTTTATGATCTTCTCCCTAAATCCTTGACGAGTTTAATGCTTTCCAAAAGGCCTCTAGCTTCAGCTTCGTTAACTGTAGTGACACTGCAAGGGCCAGAATATGAATAAATAATATACGCCATTTTGTCTCTCATCAATCCACCAAAACCCATTGCACATTGGTTTCCCATCAAAATTTAGTTTGTGTGCATTAGCAGGTGGTGGTGTCCAAACATCACCCATTTGACTGGATCTAGGAGAAGATAAACTAACCACTGCCCTAGGATTAGCAATGATCTGTCTTTTTAAGAAGACTTTAGCATCTTTATGTGTAGAAAATCAATTTGTTGCCGGTGCCAAAATATTGGATTTCAACATCGAAGTATCAGTGCTCAACCCTCCAAATACTCTTTTATTTATTTTCGTTCATATACTCCAAAGAATACTCACCCAAATTGATCTCCACAATATTACGTCCATTTTTGAGATACTAACAGAAAGCCATTGGTGAAGAAGTTGACTCATATTTTTAGGAATCTCTCTCTCTCTTCACTAAAATCCTCAACTTTCATCCCTAAAATCCTTTTCCTAAAGGATTAATCAAGAAAAAAAAAAAAGAGGGATGAAAGAAGAAAACTTTTATAAAATTACATATTGCACTTTTTATGCTAATTATGCCTACGGAAAATAGGAATTATGAAAGTAGAAAGTGCTATTATAGTATTTAAGCTATCCAAAAAAGAAAACTCGGAAAAAAAAAAGAAAAAAAGAAAGCTATGGTAGAAAACTAAATACTAGTAGAAAGACTACTAAAGCACTAAAAAAAAACCAAAAATAATAATCTTATTGAATATTTTAAGGGTATAGTTTGTATAAGGTAGCAACCTTCAACAATCAAATTAAGCTGCATCTTTAAATTTTATTATAAGATACAATTTTGGTGTAAAAAATTCTTAAGATCGCCTAAAAATTATTATCATTTCTCATTATTAAATTTTAAACTCAAAAAATAGTTCTAATCAAGTATATCTATAAACACGTAAGAATATTAAAAATTGACGATTCAGATAATTTGTTGGATGATGCATTATTTTTGGGATTCGAAATCTCTTTTTTTTACATATTCATACATCTCGATGTCGAGATAATCAATTAAAGGGCTTTCCAACATCAAAACAGTATTTTTCAATGGATTTTTGAGATGCACATTAATTCCACATTTTAAAATTGCAACCCTATATAATCTTTTTGCATATTTTAAACTTTTATTTTATATAATCTCTTAATATGAAAAAAATCGAACTCTAAATGGTAAGCTGGAAATTTGTAAATATGAATCATAGAATGTATGTTCATAGGAGCTTCTACTTTTTTTGTTGAGAAGGTGTGTTCATATTAGAAATATATGGAACTCTCTCTCTCTCTCTCTCTCTCTCTCTCTCTCTAAAGAAAAAACTAGGTTAAAAATGGAAATCTCTTCTCAAAATCTTTAAGTTCATGAGAAGAAAAAATTAGCAAAAGTTTTTTTT